TGTCTGTCCTCCGTCCGTCGGGGGTGAGTGTGCTCTTGGCACGGACGTCCTTGAGGACAGGCAGGAGGAGTTCAGGTGTCTGGCTGCTGCTTCACCTCATCTCGCGTCCGTACTACTTGCCCCTGAGGGAGACCCGGATGCACTAGACATCCCGACTCCGCGCTCTTACGCGGAGGCCGTAGAGGGTCCCTACTCCTCTCAGTGGCAGGCAGCTATGGATGCAGAGATGGCGTCCTGGAAGTCCACAGGCACCTACGTTGACGCGGTTCCCCCTCCTGGGGCGAACATCGTCAGTGGCATGTGGATCTTCAGGGTGAAGCGGCCGCCGGGCTCTCCACCTGTCTTCAAGGCGCGGTACGTCGCTCGTGGCTTCAGTCAGCGGCAGGGAGTTGACTACTTTCAGACCTTCTCTCCCACCCCGAAGATGACCACTCTTCGGGTGCTGCTGCACATAGCCGCTCAGCGCGACTACGAGCTCCACTCTCTTGACTTCAGTACTGCTTTCTTGCAGGGTAGCCTGCACGAGGAGATCTGGCTGCGCCGTCCACCTGGCTTCACTGGGACTTTTCCTCCTGGCACCCAGTGGAGCCTCCGACGGCCAGTCTACGGTCTCCGCCAGGCACCGCGTGAGTGGCACGACACACTGAGGACTACGCTTGCGGCTCTTGGGTTTGCTCCCTCTACTGCTGACCCGTCGTTGTTTCTGCGCACCGACACTTCTTTGCCGCCGTTCTACGTCCTCGTGTACGTCGACGACTTGGTCTTTGCCACAGCTGACACTGCTGGACTAGCCTACGTGAAGTCCGAGCTGCAGAAGAGACACACGTGCACAGACCTGGGTGAACTGCGCAGCTACCTTGGCTTGCAGATCACTCGGGACAGAGCACGCCGCACCATTACCTTGACTCAGTCACACATGGTGCAGCAGGTCCTTCAGCGCTTCGGCTTCACGTACTCCTCGCCTCAGGCCACTCCTCTGTCTACTCGCCACTCGCTCTCAGCTCTGCCTTCGGATGAGTCCGTAGAGTCGAGTGGCCCGTACCCAGAGCTTGTTGGCTGCCTCATGTACCTGATGACCTGCACACGACCTGACCTTGCATACCCTCTTAGCATTCTTTCTCGCTATGTTGCTCCTGGGAGACACCGACCAGAGCACATGGCTGCAGCGAAGAGGGTGTTGCGCTACTTGTGCAGTACGTCGGGCATGGGGCTAGTGCTTGGAGGGCGGAGTCCAGTGGTCCTCACTGGGCACGCGGACGCTTCTTGGGCAGACGACCAGGCTACACAGCGGTCGTCGCAGGGTTACACCTTCAGTCTTGGTTCCGGCTCTGTCTCGTGGCGGGCTACTCGCTCGTCCTCTGTTCTCAGCTCCAGTTGTGAGGCTGAGATCTACGCCGGGGCCATGGCTGCACAGGAGCTTCGCTGGCTCACCTACCTGCTGACTGACCTTGGAGAGCCGCCTCGTTCTCCTCCAGTGTTGTACGTAGACAACAAGGCCATGCTGGCCTTGTGTCGAGAGCAGCGCTTGGAGCACAGAACGAAGCACATTGCTCTCCGTTACTTTCTTGCTCGTGAGCTGCAGCAGCGTGGTCAGTTGCGACTTGCGTACGTGGCCTCTGAGGCCAACACTGCTGATGTGTTCACCAAGGCACTTGCGCCTTGTGACCATCAGCGCTTCTGCACCCAGCTGGGTCTTGTACCTGTCTTGCCTCACTTGCTCTCTTCTTGACCTTGCTTGTACTGTCACATATATATTCCTGCTCTTGCTTGTCTAGCTCTATATATATATGTGTACTCCTGCATGTGAACTGGCCCTGTTGCCCTGTCGTTGTGCTCGGACTGTGTGGTGACTTTGTGATCCACCCTGAGCTTGCTCTGCTTTGCTTGACTGGTCTTGTGACCCCTTGTTCTCCCCCACTTTGCCTATGGGGGTGTGTCAGAACATATATATAGCTTATGCTGTTGTGTAGGCTATAGTGGGGTATCCCATAGGGGGTACAACCCAATTAGGGTTTCCCATATGTACTCACTTCATTCATAGTTCATCCATTCTCGTTCTACTTTTCTCAATTTTCCTTTATATTTTGAGTAGAACTGTGGTACTTTATCGTACCGGTGATTTGGTCATGTCCATTTAGGAAACATTTTTCTTGTGTTGTTAGATCACAACACCTCAATCATGAGCCGATTATAGATGTTGCTGCAATAGCGACTCATGTATCGTAACGGATTGCGCCAATATCGACTATCGCCGACTATATTGCTACTGCTTCTTCCTTTCACCCGCACTTGCCAACTCATATTTAGCCTTACCTAGCTTCATCAGCAGCAGCAGCCGTCAGACCAAGGACTGCCTGTCAGCTACCTCAGTCTGTGAGCTGTTTCCGACAGCTTTCACCAAATGGCAAGCCTCCCAGAGCTTCGCCATCCACTACTTCACTCAGAAAGAAAGGAACGCCTACATAAATGCTGCACATTTTTCCTGCTTTTTATCGCATTTTCCGCAGGCTGCGTAGGTGGATTTATCAACTTCTATCATTCAGCAAGAGATGAATCACCTAAGCACAGCATACCTAACAGACGGACAGCGTTCCATTTTCAACCGGAAGGGAACTGGATGAATGGTCAGTATATATCAGTGGGTAAAATCAGTGACTATATAGTAAACATCTCATTGTGTCCTTGATGACTGAACCCCCGTTTTCCCTTTGCAGATCCGAATGGTGAGCGCTGCTTTATTGGGACCTATGTCGGCGTGTCAGTTTCTTACTATTATGTCTTCATTCAGGGCCAATGTACTACAAGGGATACTATCATTTATTCTACCAGTACAATCCTTTTGGAGCAGTTTGGGGTAACATAAGCTGGGGTCATGCAGTTTCAAGCAACTTGATCCAGGTATGAAGCAGGTTCAACATGTTTTATACATGCTATGTCGTCCTTGACTGACATGCTCCTGCTGGCAGTGGACCCACTTGCCAGTGGCCATCAGTCCTGACAAGTGGTATGACGTAATGGGTGCATGGTCGGGTTCCGCTGTGGTTCTTAGTGACGGAACTCCTGCTATCCTGTACACCGGAAGCAGCAAAGATAATGTGCAGCTACAAAACCTGGCTTTTCCAGAAAACGCGTCTGATCCTTACCTCACAACATGGGTGAAAAGCCCTTACAATCCCATAGCCGTTCCACCTCCTGGAGTTAGCAAATTTGATTTCAGAGACCCATCCGCATGGAAGGGAAGTGACGGAGTGTGGCGAATGATTGTTGGGTCAAGGCAAAATGGGACCGATTGCGTGTTTATGTACAAGAGCAAGGACTTCACTAACTGGTCGAAGATTCCTCAAACGGTTAGGACGGCGCCAGGACGAGCTGGAATGTGGGAGGTAAGTGTTTTGGGTCCCAGTATGATGTGCGGGTTTCTTGTTTATCTATTAATTTAACGAGCTCCTTCTCATGCAGTGTCCTGATTTATATCCTGTTTCTACGAATGGCAATGCTGGACTGGATACGTGCTCTGAAGATGACGTTTGCCGTCACGTTCTAAAGGCATCCTTTGATGACGATTTTCTTGATTACTATGCCATTGGAACCTGCAGCCAATCAAATGAAACTTGGGTTTCAGTGGATCCGCAAATCGATGTCCAAAATGGGCTGCGATACGACTATGGGAAGTTCTATGCATCAAAGACCTTTTATGACCCGTCCACGCACCGCCGTATCTTATGGGGATGGGTGAATGAGTCCGATTCACAAAATGACGACATATCTAAAGGTTGGGCTTCAGTCCAAGCTATTCCACGTGTTGTCAGTTTGGACAGGTCAACAGGAAAGCACTTGTTGATGGAGCCTGTAGCGGAGTTGAAGCTTTTGCGAGGAAGACACTTACATGATGCTGGCCTCACACTAAAGGAGGGGATGAACAAGCTTGTCAACGGCCTTACAAGCATGCAGGTAATGGAACGCTTTGAAGGCTTTCCACGGAGTGTTCGTTCGATTATTAACAATTCCTGACTGCAGGTGGATATGGCGATATTATTTGCCATTCCCAACATCACGACGGAGTACCGCCCTCTTGACAGTGACTGTGGTTGGGATGAAAATTCTGTTTCAAAAGTTGCTGGCCGATTTGGGGTCCATGTTCTTGCCTCAGCAAATTTGGAAGAAAGAACATCTATCTATTTCGAGCTCGCCAGTGGTGGACCTTTGGGTCAATGGCAAGTTCGATTCTGCAGTGACCAAAGAAGGTGAGAAAGATTATTTCTGAACCTGCCTTGCTTAGCCTGACTCGTTATGCGTACAGGTCTTCATTGTCAGAAACGGCGGAGAAGAGTATATATGGGAGTCAGCTTCTGCTGCAGGAATCTGAGGATAGGCTCATGCTTAGAGTTTTGGTAAGTAAGCGAGCGGAGATACTTTCTTCAACCAGCATCTTCATTTTCCCATATATTTAATATTTTTTTTTTTCACTTCAGGTGGACAACTCAATTGTGGAGTCCTTTGCCCAAGGAGGAAAGTCTGTCATAACAGCAAGAGCATACCCAACAACCGGGAAATCAAACAGTATATATTTATTCAACTCTGGACCAGCTATAGAAGTGATTTCGTTCGATGCTTGGGAGATGATGACTACCAACAATTAAATGGACACATAGAAAACCTGATGGATGGCCGTTGTTCAGTAGTAATCCCAGACAGTGGGGGTCATGTTTGGCAGTCTGTGAAATGTTTTCAATGAATCACACGAGTCAATGTTTCAGCAGGCACATCCATGCCAGAGCAGAGATGCCTCTCAGGATTGGGATTGTATGAAGGTGTTATTATTACGGTATTTTAGAGTCCGATCCGATCCGATCGATTTAAATGAGATAAAGGCAGACAAATCGTACGGTATAAAGAGTACCGGTATCAGCTACCAACATAGTTTGGACATGCAGAATTTACTGATGTAACTGCTGTGGGATCAGTTGCGCACATAGCCAGCGGACAGTTATCAGAAGATGTTACACCAGCACCCCACCAGGAGAGGGAAACTGAAGGGGTTTCAACCTGAACCCCAAAAAATATGAAAAGTGCCATGAACATGACTCCAGAATCAAGTGCTGCTGACAGCACGTAGTTGTAGCGACGCCACCAATCCTGGAAAGGTACGAAAAGGAGGAGCCGCAGACGCAAGGGTCAGATACAGGCAAAACGCATACTGTATTCCTCTCCCTGTGAATGATGGTAAATGAATCAAGCTGTCATGAGAATATACTTGGAATGTTATTGCTGGAAAGCAGACCAATCAGAGGCGTGCTACCATACCGCACCTTTCGGTAAGTGAAGATGAGCTTGTTGAAGATAAAGCCCATGGTGAGCCAGCCCAGGTAGTTGATGGGTGAAGCCGGCGGCATCATGCCCACGCCCGTGAGCATCACTGGGATATGCACCTTGGTCAACCACTGCAAGCGACATGGGAGTGAGACAGCCATCAAAATGAAGGAGGTGATTAGCATGGTATGTAGCCACGGCCCAACACATGTTCTGATTTTCGAAACTTAAAAAGCGGCCACAGAGCCACTGTCAATACGTCACGGTGAAATATCCGCAACTGCCACCTGTGTCGTCAACTCACTCAACCTCTGTCCCCAACATCCCACCACCTGCCGATGCCAAGCCATCATCAAGCTCCAGCTCTAAATAAGATCTGTGACAGGGTTCCCCACCGAACCACAGACCGATTTTGCCAACCCACTGGCTGCCTCTGCCAGCCCACCAACTTTTTTGAACAACTCACCATCTGTCTGCGTTGACTCACCCTCCATCTGCATGGAGTCAACATGTGCCTGCACCATCCCACCATCTTTTGCATCATCTCACTCACCATCTGTCTGCATGATCTCACAACGTGTCTCTACCAACTTACCACCTGGCGCGGCCACATCTTGTGCGCGGCCCAGAAGGGGATGGGAGCGAGCGCCCCTCCAAGGAACCACCAGTTGAGGTTGTTGTAGAAAGCTGTGGGGCCAAACATGCGCTCGGGGCCGATCAGCCCCCAGATGATTGAAGCGGAGTAAAACACGTTGGCTGTCGGGCACGTCCATGGGGAATTCTCCGGGAAGTTCTCGTCATTGATCTGATTCAGGGGAGGCGAGTGGGGATGGGAGCACGGGGACACGGGAGGAGGAGCGGAAAGGGGGAGTGGAGGGAAAGGAAGGAATTCCATGCAGATGGAAATTGGTCAGTGAGACATGGGGACTAAGGCGCGACAAGGAACACAACATGCGTTCGAGGCTGATGTGTCCCCAGATAAAGGACGTTGAGTAGAAGATTGATTGGAAGAGAGGGTGGTAGAGAGTGCACGGGATGTGGCATGGCATGCAAAGGTGGAGAAAGGCAAGGAAGTTCCTCTTTTTCCACCTTGCAACGAGCCCATTCTTGATCATGTTGCCGAGCCACTGTATCATACCCTGCAATTCGTCCACAGCTTCTGAGGCGCCTCAAAACAAGACAGGACTGTTTTGAGGCGCCTGATACGTTGTTGCCTTCCCATCCCACCTTGCAGATGAGCCCATTCTCCACGGTGTCATGGAGAAGTCAGAACTTATGAGATGTCTTTTGACGCGTCTCAAAAGGTGTCGTAGAGACACCAGGACTTATGAGTTGACTAAAGGGGGACAAAGAGAGGGAGAAGGCAAGAAAGTTCGTTCTTCCTTCCCACCTTGCACATGAGCCCATTCTCCACGGTGTCATAAAGCCACATGGGCATTTATGGCCACTTAAGGACCATGGCACGGGGCCACGCAGGGCAGTGACGTCTAACGCACCTTAACAGCTCCTTCCCACCTTGCAGATGAGCCCATTCTCCACGGTGTCGTAAAGCCACCAGGACGTGCCGAGATTAACAAGGCCTGCCAAGATAGTGGCGAACACCTGCACCAGAAACATGGCTTGTGGTGGGATCTGTGTGCATGCATGGACATGCACATGCACATGAATGCACATGCACATGCACATACAGAAAGTGAGCAGAGTGGGAAAGAATTTGTTTCGAAGATACCAGCAGCTATACACACACACGAAAACCCTTCCGAAGGGCAGATGCAGTGTGTGAGAACGAGGGCAGATGAAGAGTGTGAATGAAAACGGAGCAACTGTGTGTGGCGAAGTGGGAGAATCTGCAAACATTCAACAAATGTTTTAGATGTAAAAATAGAAACCGAAAGAACGAAAATATATATAGATATATATATATATATATACTGTTTGCCCACCTTCATGTAATGCCCGAGCTTGAAGTCTTGCAAGAAGGCGATGGCCTGCGTCATGCTAATGTACCCATACGTCTTGAAACACACGTTCCCTATCGGCTCCCCGGGGCGAATATACCCCCAGATCATCTCCGTGATTATATTGAGCCCCGGCTGCTGATTGGTTGTGGCGGTGACTATGCCGATGGGCAGGGTGAAGAAGAGGGAGAGGGCGGCGGAGAGCAGCAGGCCCCACCAGGGCAGCTGGAAGTAGGCGTTGAGTTCGAGGAAGGCGATGCAGACAGCGATGTTGGCGAGGAGCAGCAGCAGGAACCACCACCAGGGCACCTTGGGGTAGCGCTGCATGAGCCGCGTGTGCACGTCGGGTTTCACCTCCGTGGCTGATAGGGATTGGAAGGAGAGGGGGGGGAATCTGACAGGTTGAGATGGCTGACAGCTGCTCTCGAGGTCTTGCCTCTATGGCTGCAGAGTAGTGGGGGGGAGGAGGAGGAGGGGGGTGGGGGGGAGGAAGGAGGAGGCTTTTGAGGCGTCTCACAGCTGCATGAGGAGCAGCAGGAGCCAGCACCAGGGCACCTGTGAATGGAGAGAATGGAGAGAGGAACGTGGGGTAGAATGGGAGATATCCTGTGAGTGGGTGAGTTGTTTGAAGACCCCTCAGGCGCATGTGCACGTCGGGCTTTGCCTCTGTGGCTGAGAGGGCAGGACGTAGGGGCCATGCGAATGGGATGGGTGTGGTTTGAGATGACTCACAGTTGCATAAGACATGTGTGCACACCAGGCTTTACCTCTGGCTGAAAGGGAGGGGGAGGATGGAGTGCATTGTGATTTGGCACCGCACATGATAGAAGCTCTGGAACAGCAAGTACATGCATGTGTACAGGAGTGTGTGTGGTGTGTGAGTGTGTGGTGTTAGTGTGTGGTGTGTGAGTGTGTGTGTGTGTGTGGCGTGAGTGTGTGTGAGTGTGCATGTGAAGTGCATGTGAAAGGAAAAGCATGTATGTGCCTGTACATGTGTGCAATCAGGTATGTTACCTTGCCTTGCATTGGTCGACCTTCCATAGCACCATACATACCACACCACCGCACCACATCCACCTGCATCCACCAGCACTCATCGTCTGCTGGTAGATCTCCTGGCCATACCACAGCAGTGCTATCTTATACATGACATGACACCAACTGATCTACCACCACCCACCCAACACTTCACCCACCCAGCCCTTCACCCGCCAGCACTCATCGTCCACTGATAGATCTCCGACCCATACCACCCGTATATTCCACAGCGCCACACCACACCACCGCACTGCACCCATCCGCACCTACCAGCACTCATCGTCCGTTGATAGATCTCCGGCCCATACCACAGCGCCACGTGCACCACCGTCGCAGTCAGCGCGGCAAACCCCAGCCCGTAGCACAGCGCAAAGAACACCGATATATACGGCGCCAGATTCTGCTCCGTATACATCGTCTCGTTCAGCCGGAAATCCGGCGTGATAATCGCCTGCACCGGGTATCGATCCCCCGACCACTGGTAGGTTCCAGAGGAGAGGAAGGGGAAGCGGGTGGCGGCGAAAACGTTGCCCCAGTAGCAGATGGGGATGAGGACGTAGACGAAAAGGGCGAAGCCGATTCCAACGTTGAGGATGGCGAACCAGGGCGCGGCGAGGGGCGAGGAGAGAAAGGCCGACATTGTTGCCCAGTCGAGCGTGATTGCACCCAGACCCATGCCCCTCAGACCTGGTTGGGTGGGGAGGGGAGGGGAAAAAGAAAAAGGGGGGTGTGGAGTGATCTTAGGAGTGGGAGGGCGAGGAGAGAAAGGCCGACATTGTTGCCCAGTCGAGCGTGATTGCACCCAGACCCATGCCCCTCAGACCTGGTTGGGTGGGGAGGGGAGGGGAAAAAGAAAAAGGGGGGTGTGGAGTGATCTTAGGAGTGGGAGGGCGAGGAGAGAAAGGCCGACATTGTTGCCCAGTCGAGCGTGATTGCACCCAGACCCATGCCCCTCAGACCTGGTTGGGTGGGGAGGGGAGGGGAAAAAGAAAAAGGGGGGTGTGGAGTGATCTTAGGAGTGGGAGGGCGAGGAGAGAAAGGCCGACATTGTTGCCCAGTCGAGCGTGATTGCACCCAGACCCATGCCCCTCAGACCTGGTTGGGTGGGGAGGGGAGGGGAAAAAGAAAAAGGGGGGTGTCGAGTGATCTTAGGAGTGGGAGGGCGAGGAGAGAAAGGCCGACATTGTTGCCCAGTCGAGCGTGATTGCACCCAGACCCATGCCCCTCAGACCTGGTTGGGTGGGGAGGGGAGGGGAAAAAGAAAAAGGGGGGTGTGGAGTGATCTTAGGAGTGGGAGGGCGAGGAGAGAAAGGCCGACATTGTTGCCCAGTCGAGCGTGATTGCACCCAGACCCATGCCCCTCAGACCTGGTTGGGTGGGGAGGGGAGGGGAAAAAGAAAAAGGGGGGTGTGGAGTGATCTTAGGAGTGGGAGGGCGAGGAGAGAAAGGCCGACATTGTTGCCCAGTCGAGCGTGATTGCACCCAGACCCATGCCCCTCAGACCTGGTTGGGTGGGGAGGGGAGGGGAAAAAGAAAAAGGGGGGTGTGGAGTGATCTTAGGAGTGGGAGGGCGAGGAGAGAAAGGCCGACATTGTTGCCCAGTCGAGCGTGATTGCACCCAGACCCATGCCCCTCAGACCTGGTTGGGTGGGGAGGGGAGGGGAAAAAGAAAAAGGGGGGTGTGGAGTGATCTTAGGAGTGGGAGGGCGAGGAGAGAAAGGCCGACATTGTTGCCCAGTCGAGCGTGATTGCACCCAGACCCATGCCCCTCAGACCTGGTTGGGTGGGGAGGGGAGGGGAAAAAGAAAAAGGGGGGTGTGGAGTGATCTTAGGAGTGGGAGGGCGAGGAGAGAAAGGCCGACATTGTTGCCCAGTCGAGCGTGATTGCACCCAGACCCATGCCCCTCAGACCTGGTTGGGTGGGGAGGGGAGGGGAAAAAGAAAAAGGGGGGTGTGGAGTGATCTTAGGAGTGGGAGGGCGAGGAGAGAAAGGCCGACATTGTTGCCCAGTCGAGCGTGATTGCACCCAGACCCATGCCCCTCAGACCTGGTTGGGTGGGGAGGGGAGGGGAAAAAGAAAAAGGGGGGTGTGGAGTGATCTTAGGAGTGGGAGGGCGAGGAGAGAAAGGCCGACATTGTTGCCCAGTCGAGCGTGATTGCACCCAGACCCATGCCCCTCAGACCTGGTTGGGTGGGGAGGGGAGGGGAAAAAGAAAAAGGGGGGTGTGGAGTGATCTTAGGAGTGGGAGGGCGAGGAGAGAAAGGCCGACATTGTTGCCCAGTCGAGCGTGATTGCACCCAGACCCATGCCCCTCAGACCTGGTTGGGTGGGGAGGGGAGGGGAAAAAGAAAAAGGGGGGTGTGGAGTGATCTTAGGAGTGGGAGGGCGAGGAGAGAAAGGCCGACATTGTTGCCCAGTCGAGCGTGATTGCACCCAGACCCATGCCCCTCAGACCTGGTTGGGTGGGGAGGGGAGGGGAAAAAGAAAAAGGGGGGTGTGGAGTGATCTTAGGAGTGGGAGGGCGAGGAGAGAAAGGCCGACATTGTTGCCCAGTCGAGCGTGATTGCACCCAGACCCATGCCCCTCAGACCTGGTTGGGTGGGGAGGGGAGGGGAAAAAGAAAAAGGGGGGCGTGGAGTGATCTTAGGAGTGGGAGGGCGAGGAGAGAAAGGCCGACATTGTTGCCCAGTCGAGCGTGATTGCACCCAGACCCATGCCCCTCAGACCTGGTTGGGTGGGGAGGGGAGGGGAAAAAGAAAAAGGGGGGTGTGGAGTGATCTTAGGAGTGGGAGGGCGAGGAGAGAAAGGCCGACATTGTTGCCCAGTCGAGCGTGATTGCACCCAGACCCATGCCCCTCAGACCTGGTTGGGTGGGGAGGGGAGGGGAAAAAGAAAAAGGGGGGTGTGGAGTGATCTTAGGAGTGGGAGGGCGAGGAGAGAAAGGCCGACATTGTTGCTCAGTCGAGCGTGATTGCACCCAGACCCATGCCCCTCAGACCTGGTTGGGTGGGGAGGGGAGGGGAAAAAGAAAAAGGGGGGTGTGGAGTGATCTTAGGAGTGGGAGGGCGAGGAGAGAAAGGCCGACATTGTTGCCCAGTCGAGCGTGATTGCACCCAGACCCATGCCCCTCAGACCTGGTTGGGTGGGGAGGGGAGGGGAAAAAGAAAAAGGGGGGTGTGGAGTGATCTTAGGAGTGGGAGGGCGAGGAGAGAAAGGCCGACATTGTTGCCCAGTCGAGCGTGATTGCACCCAGACCCATGCCCCTCAGACCTGGTTGGGTGGGGAGGGGAGGGGAAAAAGAAAAAGGGGGGTGTGGAGTGATCTTAGGAGTGGGAGGGCGAGGAGAGAAAGGCCGACATTGTTGCCCAGTCGAGCGTGATTGCACCCAGACCCATGCCCCTCAGACCTGGTTGGGTGGGGAGGGGAGGGGAAAAAGAAAAAGGGGGGTGTGGAGTGATCTTAGGAGTGGGAGGGCGAGGAGAGAAAGGCCGACATTGTTGCCCAGTCGAGCGTGATTGCACCCAGACCCATGCCCCTCAGACCTGGTTGGGTGGGGAGGGGAGGGGAAAAAGAAAAAGGGGGGCGTGGAGTGATCTTAGGAGTGGGAGGGCGAGGAGAGAAAGGCCGACATTGTTGCCCAGTCGAGCGTGATTGCACCCAGACCCATGCCCCTCAGACCTGGTTGGGTGGGGAGGGGAGGGGAAAAAGAAAAAGGGGGGCGTGGAGTGATCTTAGGAGTGGGAGGGCGAGGAGAGAAAGGCCGACATTGTTGCCCAGTCGAGCGTGATTGCACCCAGACCCATGCCCCTCAGACCTGGTTGGGTGGGGAGGGAAGGGGAAAAAGAAAAAGGGGGGTGTGGAGTGATCTTAGGAGTGGGAGGGCGAGGAGAGAAAGGCCGACATTGTTGCCCAGTCGAGCGCGATTGCACCCAGACCCATGCCCCTCAGACCTGGTTGGGTGGGGAGGGGAGGGGAAAAAGAAAAAGGTGGGTGTGGAGTGATCTTAGGAGTGGGAGGGCGAGGAGAGAAAGGCCGACATTGTTGCCCAGTCGAGCGTGATTGCACCCAGACCCATGCCCCTCAGACCTGGTTGGGTGGGGAGGGGAGGGGAAAAAGAAAAAGGGGGGTGTGGAGTGATCTTCGGAGTGGGAGGGCGAGGAGAGAAAGGCCGACATTGTTGCCCAGTCGAGCGTGATTGCACCCAGACCCATGCCCCTCAGACCTGGTTGGGTGGGGAGGGGAGGGGAAAAAGAAAAAGGGGGGCGTGGAGTGATCTTAGGAGTGGGAGGGCGAGGAGAGAAAGGCCGACATTGTTGCCCAGTCGAGCGTGATTGCACCCAGACCCATGCCCCTCAGACCTGGTTGGGTGGGGAGGGGAGGGGAAAAAGAAAAAGGGGGGCGTGGAGTGATCTTAGGAGTGGGAGGGCGAGGAGAGAAAGGCCGACATTGTTGCCCAGTCGAGCGTGATTGCACCCAGACCCATGCCCCTCAGACCTGGTTGGGTGGGGAGGGGAGGGGAAAAAGAAAAAGGGGGGCGTGGAGTGATCTTAGGAGTGGGAGGGCGAGGAGAGAAAGGCCGACATTGTTGCCCAGTCGAGCGTGATTGCACCCAGACCCATGCCCCTCAGACCTGGTTGGGTGGGGAGGGGAGGGGAAAAAGAAAAAGGGGGGCGTGGAGTGATCTTAGGAGTGGGAGGGCGAGGAGAGAAAGGCCGACATTGTTGCCCAGTCGAGCGTGATTGCACCCAGACCCATGCCCCTCAGACCTGGTTGGGTGGGGAGGGGAGGGGAAAAAGAAAAAGGGGGGCGTGGAGTGATCTTAGGAGTGGGAGGGCGAGGAGAGAAAGGCCGACATTGTTGCCCAGTCGAGCGTGATTGCACCCAGACCCATGCCCCTCAGACCTGGTTGGGTGGGGAGGGGAGGGGAAAAAGAAAAAGGGGGGCGTGGAGTGATCTTAGGAGTGGGAGGGCGAGGAGAGAAAGGCCGACATTGTTGCCCAGTCGAGCGTGATTGCACCCAGACCCATGCCCCTCAGACCTGGTTGGGTGGGGAGGGGAGGGGAAAAAGAAAAAGGGGGGCGTGGAGTGATCTTAGGAGTGGGAGGGCGAGGAGAGAAAGGCCGACATTGTTGCCCAGTCGAGCGTGATTGCGCCCAGACCCATGCCCCTCAGACCTGGTTGGGTGGGGAGGGGAGGGGAAAAAGAAAAAGGGGGGCGTGGAGTGATCTTAGGAGTGGGAGGGCGAGGAGAGAAAGGCCGACATTGTTGCCCAGTCGAGCGTGATTGCGCCAAGGCCCATGCCCCTCAGACCTGGTTGGGTGGGGAGGGGAGGGGAAAAAGAAAAAGGGGGGCGTGGAGTGATCTTAGGAGTGGGAGGGCGAGGAGAGAAAGGCCGACATTGTTGCCCAGTCGAGCGTGATTGCGCCAAGGCCCATGCCCCTCAGACCTGGTTGGGTGGGGAGGGGAGGGGAAAAAGAAAAAGGGGGGCGTGGAGTGATCTTAGGAGTGGGAGGGCGAGGAGAGAAAGGCCGACATTGTTGCCCAGTCGAGCGTGATTGCGCCCAGACCCATGCCCCTCAGACCTGGTTGGGTGGGGAGGGGAGGGGAAAAAGAAAAAGGGGGGCGTGGAGTGATCTTAGGAGTGGGAGGGCGAGGAGAGAAAGGCCGACATTGTTGCCCAGTCGAGCGTGATTGCGCCAAGGCCCATGCCCCTCAGACCTGGTTGGGTGGGGAGGGGAGGGGAAAAAGAAAAAGGGGGGCGTGGAGTGATCTTAGGAGTGGGAGGGCGAGGAGAGAAAGGCCGACATTGTTGCCCAGTCGAGCGTGATTGCGCCAAGGCCCATGCCCCTCAGACCTGGTTGGGTGGGGAGGGGAGGGGAAAAAGAAAAAGGGGGGCGTGGAGTGATCTTAGGAGTGGGAGGGCGAGGAGAGAAAGGCCGACATTGTTGCCCAGTCGAGCGTGATTGCGCCAAGGCCCATGCCCCTCAGACCTGGTTGGGTGGGGAGGGGAGGGGAAAAAGAAAAAGGGGGGCGTGGAGTGATCTTAGGAGTGGGAGGGCGAGGAGAGAAAGGCCGACATTGTTGCCCAGTCGAGCGTGATTGCGCCAAGGCCCATGCCCCTCAGACCTGGTTGGGTGGGGAGGGGAGGGGAAAAAGAAAAAGGGGGGCGTGGAGTGATCTTAGGAGTGGGAGGGCGAGGAGAGAAAGGCCGACATTGTTGCCCAGTCGAGCGTGATTGCGCCAAGGCCCATGCCCCTCAGACCTGGTTGGGTGGGGAGGGGAGGGGAAAAAGAAAAAGGGGGGCGTGGAGTGATCTTAGGAGTGGGAGGGCGAGGAGAGAAAGGCCGACATTGTTGCCCAGTCGAGCGTGATTGCGCCAAGGCCCATGCCCCTCAGACCTGGTTGGGTGGGGAGGGGAGGGGAAAAAGAAAAAGGGGGGCGTGGAGTGATCTTAGGAGTGGGAGGGCGAGGAGAGAAAGGCCGACATTGTTGCCCAGTCGAGCGTGATTGCGCCAAGGCCCATGCCCCTCAGACCTGGTTGGGTGGGGAGGGGAGGGGAAAAAGAAAAAGGGGGGCGTGGAGTGATCTTAGGAGTGGGAGGGCGAGGAGAGAAAGGCCGACATTGTTGCCCAGTCGAGCGTGATTGCGCCAAGGCCCATGCCCCTCAGACCTGGTTGGGTGGGGAGGGGAGGGGAAAAAGAAAAAGGGGGGCGTGGAGTGATCTTAGGAGTGGGAGGGCGAGGAGAGAAAGGCCGACATTGTTGCCCAGTCGAGCGTGATTGCGCCAAGGCCCATGCCCCTCAGACCTGGTTGGGTGGGGAGGGGAGGGGAAAAAGAAAAAGGGGGGCGTGGAGTGATCTTAGGAGTGGGAGGGCGAGGAGAGAAAGGCCGACATTGTTGCCCAGTCGAGCGTGATTGCGCCAAGGCCCATGCCCCTCAGACCTGGTTGGGTGGGGAGGGGAGGGGAAAAAGAAAAAGGGGGGCGTGGAGTGATCTTAGGAGTGGGAGGGCGAGGAGAGAAAGGCCGACATTGTTGCCCAGTCGAGCGTGATTGCGCCAAGGCCCATGCCCCTCAGACCTGGTTGGGTGGGGAGGGGAGGGGAAAAAGAAAAAGGGGGGCGTGGAGTGATCTTAGGAGTGGGAGGGCGAGGAGAGAAAGGCCGACATTGTTGCCCAGTCGAGCGTGATTGCGCCAAGGCCCATGCCCCTCAGACCTGGTTGGGTGGGGAGGGGAGGGGAAAAAGAAAAAGGGGGGCGTGGAGTGATCTTAGGAGTGGGAGGGCGAGGAGAGAAAGGCCGACATTGTTGCCCAGTCGAGCGTGATTGCGCCAAGGCCCATGCCCCTCAGACCTGGTTGGGTGGGGAGGGGAGGGGAAAAAGAAAAAGGGGGGCGTGGAGTGATCTTAGGAGTGGGAGGGCGAGGAGAGAAAGGCCGACATTGTTGCCCAGTCGAGCGTGATTGCGCCAAGGCCCATGCCCCTCAGACCTGGTTGGGTGGGGAGGGGAGGGGAAAAAGAAAAAGGGGGGCGTGGAGTGATCTTAGGAGTGGGAGGGCGAGGAGAGAAAGGCCGACATTGTTGCCCAGTCGAGCGTGATTGCGCCAAGGCCCATGCCCCTCAGACCTGGTTGGGTGGGGAGGGGAGGGGAAAAAGAAAAAGGGGGGCGTGGAGTGATCTTAGGAGTGGGAGGGCGAGGAGAGAAAGGCCGACATTGTTGCCCAGTCGAGCGTGATTGCGCCAAGGCCCATGCCCCTCAGACCTGGTTGGGTGGGGAGGGGAGGGGAAAAAGAAAAAGGGGGGCGTGGAGTGATCTTAGGAGTGGGAGGGCGAGGAGAGAAAGGCCGACATTGTTGCCCAGTCGAGCGTGATTGCGCCAAGGCCCATGCCCCTCAGACCTGGTTGGGTGGGGAGGGGAGGGGAAAAAGAAAAAGGGGGGCGTGGAGTGATCTTAGGAGTGGGAGGGCGAGGAGAGAAAGGCCGACATTGTTGCCCAGTCGAGCGTGATTGCGCCAAGGCCCATGCCCCTCAGACCTGGTTGGGTGGGGAGGGGAGGGGAAAAAGAAAAAGGGGGGCGTGGAGTGATCTTAGGAGTGGGAGGGCGAGGAGAGAAAGGCCGACATTGTTGCCCAGTCGAGCGTGATTGCGCCAAGGCCCATGCCCCTCAGACCTGGTTGGGTGGGGAGGGGAGGGGAAAAAGAAAAAGGGGGGCGTGGAGTGATCTTAGGAGTGGGAGGGCGAGGAGAGAAAGGCCGACATTGTTGCCCAGTCGAGCGTGATTGCGCCAAGGCCCATGCCCCTCAGACCTGGTTGGGTGGGGAGGGGAGGGGAAAAAGAAAAAGGGGGGCGTGGAGTGATCTTAGGAGTGGGAGGGCGAGGAGAGAAAGGCCGACATTGTTGCCCAGTCGAGCGTGATTGCGCCAAGGCCCATGCCCCTCAGACCTGGTTGGGTGGGGAGGGGAGGGGAAAAAGAAAAAGGGGGGCGTGGAGTGATCTTAGGAGTGGGAGGGCGAGGAGAGAAAGGCCGACATTGTTGCCCAGTCGAGCGTGATTGCGCCAAGGCCCATGCCCCTCAGACCTGGTTGGGTGGGGAGGGGAGGGGAAAAAGAAAAAGGGGGGCGTGGAGTGATCTTAGGAGTGGGAGGGCGAGGAGAGAAAGGCCGACATTGTTGCCCAGTCGAGCGTGATTGCGCCAAGGCCCATGCCCCTCAGACCTGGTTGGGTGGGGAGGGGAGGGGAAAAAGAAAAAGGGGGGCGTGGAGTGATCTTAGGAGTGGGAGGGCGAGGAGAGAAAGGCCGACATTGTTGCCCAGTCGAGCGTGATTGCGCCAAGGCCCATGCCCCTCAGACCTGGTTGGGTGGGGAGGGGAGGGGAAAAAGAAAAAGGGGGGCGTGGAGTGATCTTAGGAGTGGGAGGGCGAGGAGAGAAAGGCCGACATTGTTGCCCAGTCGAGCGTGATTGCGCCAAGGCCCATGCCCCTCAGACCTGGTTGGGTGGGGAGGGGAGGGGAAAAAGAAAAAGGGGGGCGTGGAGTGATCTTAGGAGTGGGAGGGCGAGGAGAGAAAGGCCGACATTGTTGCCCAGTCGAGCGTGATTGCGCCAAGGCCCATGCCCCTCAGACCTGGTTGGGTGGGGAGGGGAGGGGAAAAAGAAAAAGGGGGGCGTGGAGTGATCTTAGGAGTGGGAGGGCGAGGAGAGAAAGGCCGACATTGTTGCCCAGTCGAGCGTGATTGCGCCAAGGCCCATGCCCCTCAGACCTGGTTGGGTGGGGAGGGGAGGGGAAAAAGAAAAAGGGGGGCGTGGAGTGATCTTAGGAGTGGGAGGGCGAGGAGAGAAAGGCCGACATTGTTGCCCAGTCGAGCGTGATTGCGCCAAGGCCCATGCCCCTCAGACCTGGTTGGGTGGGGAGGGGAGGGGAAAAAGAAAAAGGGGGGCGTGGAGTGATCTTAGGAGTGGGAGGGCGAGGAGAGAAAGGCCGACATTGTTGCCCAGTCGAGCGTGATTGCGCCAAGGCCCATGCCCCTCAGACCTGGTTGGGTGGGGAGGGGAGGGGAAAAAGAAAAAGGGGGGCGTGGAGTGATCTTAGGAGTGGGAGGGCGAGGAGAGAAAGGCCGACATTGTTGCCCAGTCGAGCGTGATTGCGCCAAGGCCCATGCCCCTCAGACCTGGTTGGGTGGGGAGGGGAGGGGAAAAAGAAAAAGGGGGGCGTGGAGTGATCTTAGGAGTGGGAGGGCGAGGAGAGAAAGGCCGACATTGTTGCCCAGTCGAGCGTGATTGCGCCAAGGCCCATGCCCCTCAGACCTGGTTGGGTGGGGAGGGGAGGGGAAAAAGAAAAAGGGGGGCGTGGAGTGATCTTAGGAGTGGGAGGGCGAGGAGAGAAAGGCCGACATTGTTGCCCAGTCGAGCGTGATTGCGCCAAGGCCCATGCCCCTCAGACCTGGTTGGGTGGGGAGGGGAGGGGAAAAAGAAAAAGGGGGGCGTGGAGTGATCTTAGGAGTGGGAGGGCGAGGAGAGAAAGGCCGACATTGTTGCCCAGTCGAGCGTGATTGCGCCAAGGCCCATGCCCCTCAGACCTGGTTGGGTGGGGAGGGGAGGGGAAAAAGAAAAAGGGGGGCGTGGAGTGATCTTAGGAGTGGGAGGGCGAGGAGAGAAAGGCCGACATTGTTGCCCAGTCGAG